GGGGGGTTCCCCACCCTTGGGATGGGGGTTTGTGTTGGGCTTGGGTTCCCCGAGATGGGGGTTTGTGTTGGACTGGAGCACCCCGGGGGGGGGGGTTCCCCACCTCTGGGATGAGGGTTTGTGTTGGGCTGGAGCACCCTGAGGTGGGGGGGTTCCCGACCCTGAGGGATGGGTGCTTAGCGGGGCTTGGGCTCCCTGAGGGTGTGGGTTTTCTTCAGCCAAGGCTAGAGGGCTGGAAGGGAGGCTAGGGTTCCCCTCCCCACCCACGCACGTGAAGTGTATGTACCCTGCTATCAAGGTCGGAGTGCACCAGCGGGGGGGCTAGGGCTCCCCGAGGATGTGGGGTGTTTTTTCCACCCCAAAGGCTTGAGGGCAGGAGGGGGGAATTTGGATACCTCCCAAGTGCAGGGTGTTTTCACGATCCGTAGGGCTGGAGTGGGGGGTGCGAGTCAGGCCTTTTTGTGCCCCTTAAACAGCAGTTGGTGTTGGGTTTGCCGCCTGAGAGTTTGGTGGCAGCGGTTGTCATAGCCAAGGGGGTTCCTGTCTCTGTCTCTCTCTCCCTTCTTGTAGTGACGTAATGATTTTTGGAGGAAGAGAGTTTTCCTCTTGCCGCTCTGCGAGCTTAATAACTGATGGGGGATACAGTGGTGTTCTCTGTGGTCTCCTTGTACAGGCATGCTGTGGCTGAAGGCTTAGGTGGCTGTTCTTGGGCTTGTTTCAGTGGTTTTCCTCTAACTCACACCCACACATACATGCATCATGCTGGGATAGAGCCCTGCTTTCAGCATCTGTGCTCTGGGACTCATGTCTCTGAGCGTTATTGCTGCAGTTCCTTTCAGAGGCTGAGAATGGGGCAGACAGATATGTTTTGGTTTTTTTTTTCCATCTCTCTGCTTCTAGACGAGGACAGTCTGGGTGCTCTTGTTGACAGTGGATCAGTAGAAGCATCTTATCTGAACCTCCCTTCCTAAATCATAGACGGAACCTGTATTGTCTTCTGAGGTTGCTTAATCATATTGGTTTTGTTGTTCTTGGGGTTTGCCTTTCCCCGGAGGAAATGGGGCAACTACTCAGTTTTGGGAGCTGTTTCTGTTCATTTCCGCACAGGATGCTGCATCAGTATCTCTAGTCTGGCCTGGGGGCTCTTACTTTTAATTAAAGAGTAGCAGAAAGCAGACAGAGGGCATGTTTCCTCGTGTGACGTTATATTGAAGCTATTACTTGGTACATCTTATGTGATAGCTGTTTGAACGTGGCAGTGGCCTCCTGTGTCAGGAGTAGATAAGGATCATTTAATTTCAAGGATTGTCTAATTCTGAATATCCAGCTATATGACTTCTGGTAATTCCCCTGAGGGGACCTTTTTGTAATCTCTGAGGTCCTGTCATCAAATAACTGCCGAAACATATAGCTCTGCAACAAAATTATCGGTGAGATAATCTGTATTGCTAACAAAAAATAACTTTCAGTTGAACTGATGATGAGTTCTTAAGGTGTTGGCTGGAGCCTAAATTGGATAAATGTCCATTTCAGCCTGCCCAGTCGTTCTTTTAGTATCGCTGTTGTTTTTTTGCTGCTGGCTGAGTTGTGACTTATCAGTATGTGCTAGTGGTGGGGCTTGCACTGATTCGCTCAAGTGACTTCTGGCCTGAAGGAAGGCAAGGTGGTAGCCAAGAAGCAGGGACATCCTTGCTGTTCCCCTTACAGCCAAGGAATCCAGGTGTTGTGAGAGGTGTGAGTGACTAGTAACCTTCTTGCTTGTGAGTCAGTATTTATTTGGTATATATCTTGCTTTAGTTGTTTACATTGGAGGGAGTAGGAAAAAAAGCCCCAAGTTCCCCTTTAAATTGCATTTTAACTTGTATTTTTTAATTTTCTTAGCTTTTTTTGCACTTTACTGGGTATAACTCACTTTGCTGCAAGAGTATGTTAAATGACTGCAGAATCCCCGATGAGAACCATGATCCAGCTCATCTAGCCTCTTTCAGGTGAAACATGGGGTTTGCCAGACCAAATTGCCAGACAGAAAATGGGGAATAGCTTTGAGTGCATGCGTGAAGCTTGAGGTGGGCTCTAGTGTATTAAAAAGGTATTTGAAGTAGTGTACTCATAAATAAGAGCAGTTATTTTCCATTCTTGTAAATGGAAATAAAGCCAAACAGTTGTCAGCTGTTTTACTGTAATAACAGAAATCAAGGGTGTGTGTCTGTCTCTTTCTGGATTGGTCTAGTGTAGCAAATTTAATGCAGGAGAAAAGTGAGATGCTTTGAAATGTTATGGATATCCTTAGTCCTCCCAAACAGAGTAATAAATATAATTAGTAATTCTTAAATCTGTGCTAAATGGAGAGAACTATGGCTGGCTCTGTCTTCAAATGTCACTAAAAGGTTCCCCATCCTTCTCAGCCTAGGAGTCTTCAGGTAGCATGTGCATTCACTATAGTTGGTGCCAACAACGGATGTGAATGAAAACAGATAAATAGATAAGTCTGTCTGAGAAGGCCTGGGAGCTAGTTTGCTGAGAGCACAACGCAATCTGCAAACAAATGTTTCTGTTACAGCAGAGCCAGAAGATCCTACCTTAATTTCTTGGCTCAGCAGTGGTGTATGCGTTATACAGATGAGTGAGCAATGGATTCTGTCTTGGTGAACTGGCAACATCAGAAGGCAGTGAGGACAAAGGGAGAAAGGAAACAGCGTTGTTCCCGTTAGGGATAAGATGGACAAGAGAAATTTGCAATTGGCTTTGTGAATACAAGTCCACTGTTTTAATGAGGTTATTTCTAAAAGTAGACATATGAGAAGGGTTGAATGTGGAAACTAGAATGTCAGTAGATTTCTTGTTAAGAACAAAAGTATGAGTAATATTTTTCTGGTTTGGCTAATCGTAGCTCTTTGTTTTGAGTTAAGATCTGTATTAATGAAAAGTATGGTTTCTGTTTAAAAGAAGAAAATGTCTTCCAACATAGCAGCTTTATAGCAATAGTGTCTATTTATTTGTTGCTTCTAATGTTGAAATTAAACTACTGCTGCTTTACTGTCCTTTTAAAATTGCTTATAAACAAGACGATTTATTTCTTGGATTAGAATCCTTTAGTGTTTAGTATAACAGGCTTTGAATTTTTAAGCAAGTATTATAAGACAGGTAGTTGATCTATTGAGTTAGGAGGACTGTCTCAGGGCCTGTTTTTCTCTCTTCTGCTTATCACACAGGTATTTGTTACATTAATTACCTATCTTCTGGCTACTTAAAGAAACTGCTGGGCATCTTTCTTTGTTTGCCTCTACTGTGAGTAAAGAGGCTCCAACACGTTTAAGCCTGGTGTTCTGATGATCCCGTAATGTTCTCCTCCCACCCTCCGTTTTTGCTTTCAAGAAGGAACTTTCTGTTTCATGCTGGTATGTCTTAATTAAACCGAGAGGGCTCAGCAGGGTTCCTGCTGCTCTTTAGCAAATAGCTTTGCCAGCATATATATTCTACCCATTCTGTTGAGTGGAGATCTAACTAGATTTCTATCAAAACTTCGAATTTCTTTGTTGTACTGGTAGCCACTGAGGCACATAGAGGTTTGATCCTTCAAAAAACGTTGGGCAAGGCCACTAAGTATGCGTTCAGGCTTTTGAGGCCAGGCAGACTTATGTCGCTTTGTAGAATCACTCGTAGTCCATGGCAGAGGCTGTTGACTTGAAAAACAAAAGAACATCTAGTTTGATATTGGTTGATGTTCCAAGATTTCAGTCATCAGTGTAGCTGTGGCAGAGTTTATCATGTGATGTCATGATTTGTACTAGTTAGTTGCGGTAAATTCTGGTGTTCTACATCTGTGGTGTTTGCATCAGCAGAGCTTCCTCGTTTCAGAGCTCAACCTATTTAAGAGGTGTCTCTTTTATGTCTTACATCTTTTATGTCAAAGGAGATTTAAATAACAGCTTTCTTACTGAATTACTGAGCTTGGGGAGTAAAATAACGAGCCAAATGCAGAAGTTGTGGATTTGTCTACTTTACAATAATAGTTTTTTTGGATTTTTCAGTAGCTAACCGTCTCACTAGCTAGGACCTGGCAACATCCTTCCAGATCCTGCAGCTACTTATCTTAATGACCTATTTGACTCATCTGAGAATCAGCACAAAGCAAACAATCAAAATATTGCTCTTTCCTTCTTCCCCTACATCTTTGTTTGTATTCTGTTTCTTTTTAGGCAGATTTTTTGAAAGGATTACCAGTCTACAACAAAAGCAACTTCAGTAGATTTCATGCGGACTCTGTATGTAAAGCATCAGTAAGTATTGCATATAATATGTAGCCTCTTGGTGCTTTGGGAGAAGGTTTTCTTGCACAGCTCAAAAGATGCTAGAGTGAAGGAGACTTTAAATGAATGTTTTGTTTCTTAAAAAATATGTGTGCATATAGCTGGTAGCTCATAAGTTGAGCTTGGCAAGGAATACTTCCTGCCTGCTTTGGTGAAGGATACATCATTATGTCAGCCAGGCCAAATCTGTGGTGTTTTCTTTCCTTTCTATGTAATTCTTTAGTTTAGCAGTAGTCTTGTGCCCTGAAAAACATGATGAATAGACTTTTTCACATTTAAAAAAAAAAAAAAAAAAGGGTTGGAGCTTCACCATATTGTGTAACAGGACAGAACATCACAATGCATTTGTACTGGGGTTAATGGGAGCCTTTTGGCTGGCTTAGCTAAGTTTGGGTTAAAAATTATTGTTTCCCTGTCTTTGCTCTGTAACTATTCTAATTCTTCTATAGAACAGAAGACCATCGGTATATCTTCCCACAAGAGAATATCCATCTGAACAAAGTAAGTTTGAGGTTTTTTTTAAACTTTACTCTGTTCTAATATTAAAAATTTGGCATACCCATAATTTCACTTATTTTAAACGTCAGATCAGGTAATGTTACTGAACTGTTGCCACAATGATTAGCGATGTATATCTAGTTATTATTTTTTATGTTTTCCCCCTATCCTTACCAAGTAATAACTGTTCCTGCATACCGTCCTTCTATTGGAAAGGGACCTGGCTATATAGCATGTGCAATAGCGTTGATTACTGCACAGTTTTAAAAGTTGTCTTCAAAATGACTTCAGCATGTTTCTTTCTTTTTGGCAGTCATAGTAACAGAAAAGACAAATATACTTTTGCGTTATTTACATCAGCAGTGGGACAAAAAGGTATGGTTGTGTTTTCTTAATACTAACGTTTTGTCTTGATTTGCTGATTGTGACTACTTGAGCTGAATATTGATCGTAATGAAAATACTTCTGATTAAAGTGACCCAGTCCTTGCAAACTGCACTTCATCAAAAGATGTGCAAGGAGGCTCGTTCTCTCTGCACACCACCTTTCCCCCTGCCGCCCCTTCTGTTTCAATTTAAGAGGCAGTGACTTAGTGTTCAGTCTAGAACTTGGGAGGCTTTGGTTGCGTTTCTCACTTGCTGTAGGCTCCCTTTGTGACCTGGGCAAATTAGTCTCCCTGGGCCTCAGCTGTTCAGCTTTACAGCTGGGTAAAGCTCTTTTTACCTCTCGGGACTGTTAGGAGAAGATGCATGAGCTTGTGAGAAACGTGAATGCGTTAATGAGGCTGTGTAAGTAGCTGGGATACAAAGTCAGAATTCCCGTTTGAGGAACGTACAAATTAGTTGGAGTGCAGTCCAGTAGCTAGCATTTAAGACTAGAAAGCTAGGATACCTGGGTTATGAGTACTCTGAAACAAGGTTGTGGAATGGGATGAAGAAACAGTTGAAAGATGTGGAGAGATGTAAAATTATAAGGAACCTTGAAGCTGAAAAGAAGCTGTTTGTATGTGATAGAAACCCTTTGGAGATTTAGATAAGTTCAGAGACTGAATTGGAACAGCAGGAGAGAGAGAGAATCTTAGTCATGTTTATAAAGTACTTGAGATCTATAAATAAGGGATGCTGAGAACAATGATTTGCCTTTCAGCCCCACCCTCGAATCTGAAGAACAATCTAGAAGGAGCACATTTCAGCTTTGGGCAAAATCCTCTTTAGTGTTTGTTTGAGTGCGTCTACTAGTTCATCACAGAACTGCATGCCAAATGTTATAAATACATATACATATATAAATCTCCCAAAGATTTGGAAAGAAAAAGTTGTTCACTGACACTAGCTCCCACTAGAATGTAACTCTTCAGAGAGTTTCACTGTAGCTTTCTCTGTCCCGACAGAATGCAGCAAAGAAGAGAGATCAAGAGCAAGTGGAAATAGAAGGTGAGAATTCAGCACCTCCACGGAAAATCGCTCGGACAGACAGCCAGGATATGAACGAGGACACTTAAACTGTTGGTTTTCTCCTCTACTACTTTGCAGGCGCTTCCCGTTTTGTCTCAAAGTGTGTAAATTTTGCCCCTTGCCCCCATCTCTCACCCCTCCACTATGCAGCCCAAACCACTTCAGACTTCATAGGAGCCAATCTATTTATTTTTTTTCTCCGTTTTTTATTTATGCCGTAAAACTTACGGAGCAATGGTGGAATAATTCAGTAAATGATGTAGTAACCTTAGTTCCTCCTTTCTAAAAACATACACTGTCACTTTTGCAGGTTTTGTTCAGTCTGTTACCTAATCAACCACATCTAGCCATGGAAGCCTGGGTAAGAGATGTGGGTTATTACAGAACCCTTCAGTGGTATAGACTTTCTGATTCTTGTATCCATTGACGTATTACAGTGGTTAACTCTTCTCTGGATGTGCCCAGTCCAGCCATAAGTGTGGGGCCTCAATATCTTTCTCAAATATTCTGAAATTGGCACTGCACTAAAAAATCATGGGTGTCACTTAGGATTATGTTGATCTTAGCAAATGTCTTGTCAACCTGATATATCAGTTGTATTCTTTTGGCCTGTTCTGTAAGGGCCACAGTTGTTTGGCAGCGTACGTTATCACATGCATCAGTGGTCATGGAGAATTCAAGTGAAAGGTGTGTTGCTTTTGTTGCTCTTAAATTCTAACAGTCTCGAACGGACTGATATGTGCAACTTCTCCATTGGAATAAAAGGATACTTTTATCCTGTTCTGAGTATTTGATCAACAGTGTATTTAAGCAACAGCTGCTGGAGTGGAGCTAGGTAGGCACCTTGCAGTCAGCACTTGGCTGGATAAGTCTGGGAGCACCTTGGCAACTAGATCTAGTTCTCTATCTCGACTGCCAGCTATGAATAATGGTACGTTGCATTTTCCTGCGATATCAGCATGTCTGGCATGGAGTCCAGGACTTATAGTTGATCAAAATGTGAGCTTCCGCGGTCTCCGGTAAAGACCGATCTCTTGGACTGTGACAGTTCAGTGCCTGTTGCCTGTAACCCTTCGCTGACTCTTCAGTAAGAGCCAAAACAGAGACCCACAAGTCATCTAGGTGGATTCAGAAGTTGAGAGACTAAAAGGAGATGAACATCATCACCCGAAGGGGACAGGAAAGGTGTAGCTTAGAAATGATGTCTTGTCTGCTTTAATGTAAGAAGCTGACTTCACACTGTGTTAGTTTAAATTGTTGCATTTATGGTTGTGGTTTTTTTCTCGTTCACAAATCCTAAACACCGATTTCTTGAAATCGCACGAATGTTTTTCTAGAAATCCTGGATAAGCCTAGTTGTGAGTGGCCAAAAGCTTTGAGGACAGGGTTTCTATTATCCCCTTCTGCACAACATTCCCTTCCGACCAGCGGACACTATGTGTTTAGGTTAGGGGGCAAAGGGAATATGAAGGGAAAGACACTATTCCTAATGACTCTTACGTTATGAGGCAGAACTTTGGGAAGAGCAGGACACAGCTCATGTTGTGTTTTAAAGTTATATTAGGCATGAAGTTTCTGATATAGCGAGTGAATTTAACTGAAAGTTAACGCTGAATAGTTTAGACTTTTACTTCTGCCTCAAAAACTTACCTTTTTGCTGTGGCAGTAACCTCCAAATTACTGGAATGTCATTGAAAATGCCAACTGTGTTGGTGAAGATAAAAATACTTAGATTTCTTTGTAATTTACTGGCATTTATAAGAGGACTCCTCCCAGAGTTACGCTGTCAAAAAGTGCTTTTGTGCAAAATGCAAGATGTTAACTGAAGATGTCATGTTAGCATCCAGTTTCACAAGGAAGTATTTAAAGCTGAAATGGAAGAATCCTGTGAAGAGCTGTAAGATACCAAAAGAGGAAATGGACATATAGCTGGTGGTAAAGTGTGACCAATTTGTGTGTTTAGCAAAGTTTGAGAGCTGCAGCCTTGCAGACTAATGTTTGTACAGTGCTTTAAAGTTGTAAAATGCTGTATAATTCTTGATTGATATGGCAAGGTTTGAGCTTTGCTGACTTCTCTGCTAGACAGAGTGATGTACTATTAAAGAGAGTTGGCAGTTCTTTCCTGTTGTAAACCCCCATCTTTGTTCCCTCTGTGTCTTTAAAAATGATCTTGCTGGTTACAGGAGCCTTTGATATATTTCAAATATTTTTGGTAGGTACAAGAAAAAAAGTGTGGTGTTGGTTTTTTTTTTTTTTTTTTTTTTTCTCTCCCAAAAGTTGTTCTGAAGTGATGGAGAAACAAGTTTTTGAAGGGATGTGACTTTAAGCATCAAACTGTGGGTTTTTTTGCAATGGTGGCTGCATGCAAACAGTTTGGAGTTCTGATGCCCCCAGTGAATCTTCTTACATCCTATCCAATTTGAAGTGAAAGCTCCCTTCTTCCCTCCTTCATTCTCCAACCTACTTTCCATGCTGCTACTGACTTAAGAGTGCTATCCTCAAGCTATTGCACTTTGATTCTATATCCACAGCTGTTTAATACATGGTAAGTGTATCAGGTTTGAATGTTGCATGGAAGATCTTACTTGCCTAACTCTGACTTCCTGGTGCCTTAGTGCATTTAAAAAAAGGAAACAAAAAACAAAAACCATGGATCTTTGCTGACCGCACTGTTTGTATAATACCTAGCTCCTCTAACTTCTGATTCTCTTGTTACGAAGTGACTGAAACTTAGTGACCCTTAGGGGTTTTTTGTATATGTCTGCTTAGTGGTATTTTTATTGTTTCTGTTATCAATGTATACTAAAGGTTTAGGGTTTTTTTAAATGATATTTGAGATGCTTGTCAGAGATAAGTATTTTAGTTGAGTAGTGTATCTTTTGTCAAAAGTCAAAGCAGCAGAAATGCATTTCTTTAATATTAGAGGAGGGCGAGTCCTTCCAGGAATAGCCCCTTACAGCAGACTATCCTGTTAATAGGCATCTGTCCTGCCAGCTGAAGTGCTCCTATACTAAGCACACTAGAGCTTGTGCCCTCTGAGAGCGATTAGGTGTATGTTGGGTAACTTTAGTATATTAAGAAGTTAGTCACTGCCTTTTTCTGACATAAAAATACACTTGTGACTGACTTGAAGGAAAACTTAAAGTTCTACTTAGCTTAATTCTTTGTCGTATGACTCTTTAGAAAATCAAAAATCTCCTCCCCACACAAAAGAATTGGAGAAGGAAAAAGTTTGAAAGAAAGGATAAATTTTATAACATGTTCTGACCTCATAGCTGTGAATTCGTAGGTAATTGCATCTGAGCGGTAAAGTCTGTGTTTATTGTTTGCAGTGATGGTTGACTCCTGAAGCTTGCTGAGTTACATTATTTTATCTAAATACTTAGATAACTTTAGCGCGTTCAGCTTTCAAGCTGTTTCCTGTTTCTGTCCTTGGAAGTTTTTGAGACCCTACTGATCAAGGCCCTGAGCAAGCTGGTCTGAATTCATTATTGACCCTGCTTTGAGCAGGAGGCTGGAGGTGACCTCCTGGGGTTTCTTCCAAATGGATTTATGCTGTGATTCCGTGGTAGTAAACACAGGGGAGAAAATGCAGCAGGTTGGAAGATTTGTTTTTGTGTGAAGCTGGCAAGCTGTGAAGTCCTATTACCAAAGCTTATAGAGTTTGCAAGCATGCGCAAAAGCGTTGGACGATGAAACAGCCCTGAAACCACGTTGTGCTACAAAGAACAGGGATTTGCAGCAGCAGTATGAAAATCCAGACAGGGGCAGGGGAAGAAGGGAACCACCCAACTCCCCCATCTGCTTAAGGCTATGACTAGGCTTGCACCTAGGGTGCCATTTGTTTAAACTCTTAACCACAGGAATATTTGACAACTTTTTTAGATGCGTTTCACTACAAGAGAACAGGCTTTTAGAACCACTTAGATATGTTAGATCTGTGTTGTTTGTTTGTTTGGGTTTTGTGTGTGTGTGTTTTCTTAGCCTAGAAAGGACATGAAGCATCAGTAGCGTAAGGGAAAATCCCATGAGTAGTAAAATGGGACTTGGGCAGGTTCAGCGATGACCCGTTCTCACCTGGCATGGCTATATATGTATTTATGGTGTTTGGGATTTGTGTCCCAATGACTGTGTTCGGAGCGAGTTGCTGAGCCAGGTTGTGATGATTCTGAAGGATATAGTTAACCTGAATGCTGTTTTCTGTTCTCATCCTGATGAGAATGGAGTATATGTGCCAAGCTGTTTAATGAACTCCACATGCATGTAGCTGTTTGGGGTTTTATTGAAGGCCACTGACGTGGAGAAGTGAAGTTTGCTTTGGAGAATGATTGACTGATGGGTTTCCTCCCCTCTCCAGTGCGTGCCTTATGCAGCAAATCAGTTGTTAGTGTTTGGACTGTTTCCTGTAAGGCAAATTGTTGAACATGCTGGACGTTATCTTAAAATTTTCACTTTGTACTAGGTAGATGTAACAGGTATAATGTCAAAGCTTTTTTTTTATTTTTTGGTGAGCTCCTTGACACTAGCCTTAACAGCAAAGACCAAGCAGAAGTCTTGATTTTTTTTTTAATGCTGTTTTAAACACTGTAGCTGTCAGCTATATTATCGCTTACTATTTCCTGTCTTGTTTATATACCACTAACTTCATTTTTTTCCTATTTTTAAGATTTCCACTTGCCTATGTATACTGGGAAAGCTAACTTGCTTTTCTGGGTTAATGATGTCAGCCTGGCAGCAGAGGAATTGTGCAACTTACTGAGCATGACGAGAGGGATTCTAGCTGATCTGGCTGTGTCGGGTTTTGTGTTACATCTTCTGATGTATAATAAATGGTGGGAAATCTTTTTCTTGAGAGGGGGTTGAATATACCTGGGCACAGCTAAGGGTATTTTTGGGAGAAGCGTAGAGGATGTGCTGGTCAGTGTGCCTGGAAGGGGGTATTGCATCATGAGTTAAGCACAGACTGACCTTCATGCTGTGCTGACTGTGCATTAAGGTTTCTCTTCTGCTGGTTCACAAATGTGTGTGTCCTGACAGTGGAGAATGCACTCCTGGGATCTCATCTAATGCCTCATCTGGGATGTTTACTGCTAGTAATCATTTGAAAAGGCTGAGTAAGCAGCCTATCCAGGTGGACTGACTATGCCAGTTGCCAGTTTACTTATGGGTCTAATGGCTGCATCTGACCTGTACTCAATGGTTCACTCTCACAGCATGCCTCTTGGCCTGCATTGCTCATCTGAGAGAAGACAGTGTTCTCCATGGCTACTGGGTTACGTTTTCTATAAAAGGCGTGTGTCATCTTGAGAGTTTAATGTTAGAGTGGCAATAGGACTTCTAGCATCTCATGTTCTTGTTTCTTTTTCCGAAAGTTGAAATGTTTCCTAGATACTGGAAAGAAAAACTTGGGAAGAGCAGTTTTGTAACTGAAACATGGGAATAAAATATCAGCTTTCAAATTCTCTTTAACAGAGTGGTTTTTTGTTTTGTTTTTTTAACGCAAAACTTTCCAAGTGAGTTCGCAGATATGAAGAACTAAGACTCGTCACATGTGTGATTTTAAAATTAGGTGGTTCTAGGAATTAAAGTTTTACTAGATTTCTTAATGCTTTCTGAGGAGTTTGGGTGGCTCTAACCTATTATGGTGGAGTTTGTTGTACTGATATAAACCTGAAAGTAGATAGTAAGATTTAAGTGCAGCACTGTCAAAACTTTACCCTATTTCAAGTCGGTGTTTTCTAATGTGGGAGGTGGCTAGCTGCCTCAGTTGGGTGACATGAGGTAAGCATGGACTCCTCCATGGACCAGTGTTGAGTGCTGAATATGTTGCAGTGGCAGACAAGGTTTTCCGCAGATCGTCAGCTGTTTTTCTTGTTCCTTCCACTAAACAACTCCTCGGCCAGCATTCAGAGGTAAGAGACGGCCCTTGTTCCTCAGCCAGCCAGCGCTGTAGGAAAGTGAAGCTGCCTTGTGCACAATGAGAATGTTAGTTTGTGCTCTACTTGCTCTAACTCTGCTTTTAGTTTCCTCACTTTCATGACCAAAGCAAACTTCGTTTGGAGAGCAGACTAGCAGTGGCGTTTCTCTGGCGGCCTCGCTGCTACCAGCTTCATAAACGCAAGGCCGACTCATCCCTGTTAGCTCTTCAGGAATTGCAGCGCTGTAATTCATGCTGTCTTGCTGTTAAACACACACAGTGCTTTTTTGAGGGAGAAGGCACCGAACAGTATAAATGGTCAAATGTTCTTCCCTGCTTTGGTAAGCTGCGTGTAAGTGTAAAAACGGTGAGATGGTGAGGATCAGGGGCCATGTATCTGGTGGAAAGCAGGACTAGCCGTTTAGCTCTGTAGTAGTGGCTCTCGGGGGTTACAGAGACGTCGAGATGGAAAGTGAGCAATGACTAATCAATTGCTGTAAGAAGTAACATGGAATCTGAATGGATGATCAGAGCTGAGTCACTGCATTGTCTGTGGTACAGTTGGACTGGATTTCCAAATGCATTCATTTCTTATTAATCAGCGCGCTGAGTGTGGTGCCATGAATAGGCTTTACTGTGGTGGGGGTTGTCGTTTTTCATTTTTTTGCTGAACTACCCTCCCTCTGACCAGTTCCACATCATAGCTGAATGTCTGAGTGTGGGTCGGATCCTTCTAAGTCATCTGCAATTGCTTTTATGACTCCTACGGTCTGTTCAGAACACAAAATCCCAGGCTGGTTTTTTCAATGCAGTGTTAAGCCTGTGAGTGTGTTAATTCCAACCAGTCTTAGCAATTTGACTTTTCCTCTTTTGCAAAAATACTGTCTTTTTGGGGCTGGGAGAAGGTTTTTTTCCTGAAAACTGCATGTTGGCAGAAGGGCTGCTGTCATGGAGTAACTGTAAATACACTGTTAGTCGAATGTCATGGCCGTTGGATTTTTGCATTTATTTTTAAACTATTCCATGTTTGATACTGTATAATAAATTTGCAGAATTTAGAGGATTATAACTTTCTTTATTCTTCCTCTTGTCTCCTATTGACAACATGCAAGCGAGCTGCTAAGTGCCTCCAGGAGCCGCTGTGTGGGTGCATTTTGAATCAAACCGCACTGGGTGGGGTTTTTCCTTGTATCGCTGTCTC